GTTTTTGGAAATTGTGTTATCTACTAGTATAGATAAAAATCCTTTGTTGGTGTCTTCCTTTGGTCCACTCTCTTTGCTATTTCTTGCACTTGTACACAGTATTGTTTTGATCACTCAGAGGGTTTTTTTAGGAATAAACCTGCATTTTCCTGGGGGTATTCAAAAGGAAGAAACTAAAAAGAAACTGAAAATCTAGTTTTTAAGATAGAGCTGAATGAAGTTGTGGAATAAATCAAAGCCAAGTCTGTTGCATGAGAAGTTTCTTCAGTCCTGTGTTCCTACAAATGAGCATAAATGAAAGCCCCCACACTGAAATCAATGGTGAGGTTTTCTGGCAACTAGCCAGAAGTAATTCCTTTGAGTTATGTTACTAAGGCTTGAAATAAGATTTACCTGCTAAAATCTTTCATTTCCTTTGCTGTCCACATGAAAAAAAGAGTTGAGAAACTCCATCTCCACCTAGAGCAGTGACCGAGGTCATGTTATAGAAACCGTAGGAAGGCAACTTCCACAAGAAGGCTCATGTCTTATACCATTATTACCATCACAGAAGCTATGGGAAGGTACTAATGGTAAAAGACGTCTTTGTTCAGATAACTAGAAGTGTACCCAAGTGTCACTGTTGTGTAGACTGTGGGAGCGAGGGAGGGGTGAGGGATGTGATTTCATCTTCATAGGTTTTTAAATTCTACTTCTTCCTTGTTTGACTCCAAATCCTGTTATCACTGCCAACACCCTAGTCCCCTTGGCTTCTGGAGTCTCCGTACGGTGAGCTCCAGGTGAGCCCAGGAACACTCTGAGGTCAGGAGAAATGTTAGTGCTGAGGCTCACATCTATTCTTGTGGTCCCATAGTCCTGTTTACCTGCAGCTGTGACTTCGCTGTGAATCCCAACTGCCTTTGAGGAGTCGCTGTGCGAGCAAAGGAGTTGGCCCATGGTTAGCCGGGTCCTGCTAATGGCAGACAGCATAGATGAGACTAAACATTTCTGTGGCTCCTTCAGTCTGTGACAATCCTTCGAATTATATTTAATTAAAGAGTGTACACAATGGCTTTCTTTGCAGTAGCAGACTGTACAGTAATCCTCTAACAATTGTTGGGTTCTGGAAGGAAGGAAAACTCTCATTAAGAAAGACTTTGGGGATAATTCCACATGTGAGTTGCTGCAGAATTCAGAGCTGCAGGAAATCACATCCAGAAAAACATTCCCTTCGTCTTTCTGCTCAGGGCTTCAGAGCACATTTCAGACGAAAAATAACCCCTAACAAACCCACCTGAATTTTTACATGGTAATTTGGGCATGCCAGGAGGGCTTAGCAAAGGAGGGTTTACCGAGTTGCAGCTTCACCCACAACAGATATGCTCAGGAAACTGGATTACTGTTCACTAGCTGATGTTCATGTGAGCTAGCCAAAGCTGGTCATGCTTTCCCTTTATCTAAATATTTTGGATGGAAAATGTGAATTATTGTAGTCTTCAACCCGATGTCTACGTGGCCAGTTTCCCCCTGCAATGAAAGATGCAAAAGCTCAAAATTTCTGCCTTTTCCACAGGACAAAACAAACAATCAAACCAAAACAACAGAGCAGAAAAACAGAGCTGGGGAAGACATGAAGTGAGTTTGTACCAAGCTGTCTATAAATTCTACTTCAACTTTTTCTAGGAGGAATACACCTAGGAAGGAGAGCTATTTAGCCTCTCATGCTAGGGAAGATGCATCTTGGCAGGCAAGACTCACAGCTCTTGAGGGGTCTTTTGAGGCATGAGCATCTTGCCAACTGGTAGATGAAATAAGCCAGCTGAACTTGCCGCTCTGCTCACTGTCATGCCAGCAGAACTAGTGACGTACTGACAAAAAAGCCACAATTTTCTGTTTCCTAATGATGTCCAAAACTGTGATTTTTTCTTTATTTATTTATTTTTCATTCCAACTGCCTTTGGTAGCCTGTAGCAATGAAGGCTGTGATATGTGAGGGTTATTAGTGTTATCACTAGGGAGGTAGAAAGAGGGTTGCTGTGATTGTTTGGGTTATTTACTTACTTATTTAAATAATGTGGAAAATAAGCCGTAAATGAGGCGGCCTTCAATGTGAGTCTGTTTGTCAACCTTCATGATTCAGTTAAAGATCCTTAAACACTAAATTCACACATCACTGACCTTCTCCAAGTATTTTAGTTTGAACTGGTCCAGCTACAGTCAGTGAAGTGGGATGAAAGCCTTCAGGGCTGATGCTCTTTAGCTCTCTGTGGACTAGAAGGAATAGCAAAAAATTAGTTCACACTGAACATATAGCTTTCACCCAGCTAAAATGAAGGAAGATGAGTCCCACTGGGAGAGAAGGTGCGATATATCCTACTCTTTGTTTGCTTCTGTGTTTGTTTATAAAAACATAGAATAATTTAGGTTGGAAAGGATCTCTAAGATCGAGTCCAACCATTAACCTAACACTGCGAAGTCCACAACTAAACCGTGTCACTAAGTCCCACACCTGCGCATCTTTTAAATACCTGCAGGAGTGGTGACTGTACCAATGCTTGACAATCCTTTCAGTGAAGAACTTATTCCTAATATCCAATCTAAACCTCCCCTGGTGCAACAAGAGGCCATTTCCTCTCGTCCTATCACTTGTTACTTGGGAAAAGTACAACCTCCTTTCAGGTAGTTGTGGAGAGCAATATGGTCTCCCTTCAGCCTCCTTTTCTCTAGGCTAAACACCCCCAGTCCCTCAGCCACTCCTCACAGGATTCGTGCTCTATACCCTCCTCCAGCTTCGCTGCCCTTCTCTGGACATGCTCCAGCACCTCAGTGTCTTTCTTATAGTGAGGGGCCCAAAACTGAACACAGTACTCGAGGTGCGGCCTCACCAGTGCCAAGTACAGGGGCATGATCCCTGCCCTGCTCCTGCTGGCCACACTATTCCTGATACAAGCCAGGATGCTGTTGGCCTTCTTGGCCACCTGGGCACACTACTGGTTCATGTTCAGCCGTCTGTTGACCAACACTCCCAGGTCCTTCTTCACTGGGCCGCTTTCCAGTCACTCTTCCCCAAGGCTGTAAAACTCCATGGAGCTGTTTTGACTGAAGTGCAGGACCTGGCACTGACCCTTGTAGAACCTCATACTATTGACCTTGGCCCATCGATCCAGCCTGTCCAGATCCCTCTGCAGAGCCTTCCTAGCCTCAAGGAGATCAACACTCCTGCCCAACTTGGTGTCATCTGCAAACTTAACATTTGTTTGCTTTTAAGTATCTAGTACTGTTTTATAGAGCTTAATTTATATGCGGTAGCTGTTTTGGGGTTGACGGATCCTACATATCACAGAATCACAGAATCACAGAATGGTGGAAGGGACCTCTGTGGGTCATCTAGTCCAACCCCCCTGCCGAAGCAGGGTCACCTACAGTAGGCTGCACAGGATCTTGTCCAGGCGGGTCTTGAATATCTCCAGAGAAGGAGACTCCACAACCTCCCTGGGCAGCCTGTTCCAGTGCTCCGTCACCCTCAGAGGGAAGAAATTCTTCCTCACGTTCAGACGGAACTAAATGATTTACATGGGTCTGTGCCCCCTGGAGTGAAAGCTGTTGACCAAGAGAGATACCATAGGATATCTCAACTGAGGCGAGATACCTCTATTCGGGAGACTGAATCCCACCTCAGTGCACGGATGTTCTTGAAATCAGTGAGGATGGGACAGGTAAATACTCCTTCAGTCAATGGAGCCACTTACCTTGCTTAAAAACTCACAGCAAGTCAACACCAGGACTACAAAAGCCAAGAACAGCTGTATTTTGGTGATTTAGCCATTGGACACAATTTTTCCAGTGGTTTGCCTAACATAGAAGTCTTTCCTCTTGGACTGGGTGAAAAAAAGGTGATACTTTTAAAATTACATTTATAATCGAATTTACCTGAAGCTATCACGAGCCCGCTATTCAGATTACTAACGACGAAAGGTGGTGAAACATTTACGCAAAAGTAAATATCAGGCTGTTGAGGTAAATATGCGATCAACCAATTTAGGCATGCAGTTTTAGTGAAGGGAAGATGCTGCAGTGAAGTACTTGCTAATGGACTTGGTAGAAAATTCACTGCATTAAAAAAAAATTAAAATATGTTGTAGAAGTACACAGCGCTTTTCCAACCCCTATCAAAGTTATAACTATATGAATTAATTTATAAAGCGAAAACTTGATGTATTCATAGGTGTGAGATTAATTTGACAATAGTTTAAGTTAAGTTTAATGAGTTATAAGTTCGCTTTGAAAAAGTCAGAATGTTTTGAAAACATTTCAATCTTTATTTTTACAGCAAGTGTTCCGCAAATCTCTCACGCTTCCCCTCACACTTTTTTAAGGTTAAAATAAAAAGGCAAGAAGCACTGTAAATTAAAACAAAATGAATCTATGGTATTTTAAATGAGCCAAGACAGAATTTCCTAAGATCTGTTTCCCAAGGGGAAACAAAAATAACTGAGTACCAAGAAAACTCCAAATAGTTTCCCCCTTCTTGTGTTTATTTAATTTGACTAGAAAACCACATAATTAATTTTGTATACAGTGCTAATCAAGGCCCATTCCCAACCTAAATGAAATTACAGTCTGAACAAGACATGGGATGAAACAAGGAAGAGAGCAGATTGGGTTAATAAGAAATAGCGAGAATAAATTTCATGTGCTAGATTCTTTTTCAGTTTTAATCTGAAGGGCAAGTAACATCAAACAATTGTTTCTTCAAAGTATTTCTGAGCCTTCTGTCTTACAAACTTGGCTGACAAATATATGGATAAAGGAATAGCTCACGCATTTTGATATCAGACAAGAAAAGATCTTTTTTTTTACCTTTCTCTGCCTATTTCTGATAAAAAAATATATGCTTTTTCTAAAATCCAGAAAGAGTGAACACTAAATCAATGACTTCTTACAGGCAAAGGCTTATCCCCCGTCCTCAAAATCTCTCCCTGAAGCTCACCCAACTCATGGTTTTTCCTGCATTGTGTTTAATGGCAGCAGTATAAAAACAAGCCGAGACTTGTGCTCGCTTCACGCCATTCCCCTCTCACCATCTCTTTGCAGCCGTGTCTTTGAAAGAGATGGGGTTTTTGCGCAGCGCCGCGCTTCATGGGACCTCAACTTCTGCTTGCAATTGCCATAGTAAAGAATCAAGGTTCTCCCTCCAAGTCGAGAGGGTGTTGGTGACAAGGTGACGCTGTGTTATGTGACCCACTGTCCAGCTCCCGGTGCCTTTTTTGGAGAGCAGATTGTCATTTGCACGTTTTATGATTGAGACAGTTCATGAATTACATGTTGTAAGAAGTCCATGATTAATTACCTGAGCATTTATAGCCACAGTTGTATTACAAACACAGTACAATTAGGTCTGACTGAGGAGAAAGCACTTGGGGGAAATAAGTCTTGTCGTTGGGTATTTCCTGCTTTTTAGCTCCTTGATCTCCTAATCTGCATCAGAGATTTCATTCTTATTTGATTTGGTTTTTGTTTTGCTTTGAATTAGCATAAACCAGGAGGCAGGCCATGTGAGAATGGAGGGAACAAACCGTGTAAGCACAGATCTCACTGCTCTTGGCATGAATATTAAAACTGCCATCTTCCTGCCCTAGGTAGCTTAGTGCTAGGTTTGTCTGGCAAGGTTTCCGGAGCATAAAAAAGTAGAATTGCTCCTGATCATCGTAAAAAAATAGGTTGGTTCTTTTTTTTAAGGAAGACATGGAGAGAAATGCTGTTTTTTCAGCAGGCTCTGGGTTACACTCCCTTAGCTCAAGCAAACATAAAATGAGGCTGGATGTATGTCCCCGTTGTGAAGAGGCCCAGGAGATCTCAGATGGCCATGAATCCTCAGGATAACTGATTGCTCACTCTCTTCTTCTCTGTCTTTTCTGCAGGCATCCAGCACGCGTCCGGAATGCAGCATCATGCAGGAGATCGAAGAGGAGCGCAGCCAATGCTTCGCAGATCTTGACAAAGATAACCAGACTTCAGGTATGGGGATGCTCTCTTCCCTTCCTGGCCTGCAAGCCAACATCACGCAGCCTCACATCTGCCTTGCCCGTGACGTTTCTCACCGCTATGGCTGCTGGAGCAGGGCAGTCACTCCAACTGATGTTGAGCTCTCACACTGGGAGGGAAAGAAATAGGTACTTCCAAAGTACGATTCAATCAACGGAGAGTTTGAATAGCTTTCTGGGAATCACTCGCTGCTTCCCAGCTGCGTAAGCCTAGCTTAGGCGTCTCGGTGTGTTTACTCACAGTCAGTCATCCATCTCTCTGAACTGCAAGTGCCTTAACCAATTTTTCCCTGGGATCTGAGAGCCTGATGTTCTCATACTCCTTGCTTTGCTTCAAGGGAAGTAATGACGACCTTCTCTTTCCATTGAACTGCCCTCCCACTCCCATGCCAAAATTGCTCTTGTGCTGGTTGCAAAGCAGAGGAAAGAAGAGTGTGCTCCAAAGCTGCAAGGTATCTATGAAGTTGGGCCAGGCAGCTGAGATCCTTACCTGGTTTACATGACATGGAGCACACACCACCCTGGGAAGTCCTCCTGGAAGGCTCTCCAGTCCCTTAACCCACTCCTTGCTACAGTGATCAGGAGAGGAGGGCCAGGTCAATGATGTTACCTTTGCTCTCCAGCTTCCCAAGGTTTCTCCATCCCGGACTCAGGAGGTGTGCCTCTCTTGAGGAGCAGGCATGGGACACCACTTGTTGCACAAGTGGAGTTTCAGAGCAGTAGAGAGGCTGTGCGATGTGGCTGTGAGCAGAGGAGCTGCAAACCAAGCCATGAAGCAGGCCATGGGTGGGTGATGTCGAAAGGGTCTGTGCTAATGCAAGTCCCTGGTGGGCAGCCTATAGGGAGCTTGGGAGATTTTGGCACAGCCACCCATGCTTAACCTTAAATTGTAGAGATCAGTGTGGCAGAGAAGGCAAGCTTTTGGTTTTGGTGTTGTCCCATCCCATCCCACAGCAGCGCTGCCAAAGCCCCAGCCTGAGGCATCAGTTATGACCTTTCTCCCTCCAAGTACAGCTCTCAAGTTACAGGTTCCGGTTTTGTGAGTAAAGGAGGCGTAGGGACCAGTGGTAGGCTGTCAGGCTCCAAAAATAAGGGAACACGTTGCTGGGGAAGGGGTGGGAAGGTGCATATCCTGCTTGATATTTGCATCCCACCTCCTGAAAGAGGAAAAAGTGGAAGACGATGTCTTCTCATCCTCTCTCCCTTGGCATTGCTTGCAGTGAGGCTACAGACTGAAGGACTTTTGGCACAATGCTTATTAATGATGGAATAGCATCCTGGGGACAAGCTGATCCCAGGAGGAGCTTTACTGAATGCAAGCACGGGTTTTGGACCCTGCTTTTATCTGCTAAGTTATGGTTTTCTTTGATTTGGAAACTATTTCAATTGTCCCTGTACAGTCAAATAGAGCCTTTTGAAGAAATGTTCTCCTGGAATGCAATAAGAGGAAAACACAGGGTAGTTAAAAACATTAATCTGAAAGCCAACTAAATGCTTCATTTCTTTTTCATGGGAATTTAAAGAAATTCAATTAAATACAGTACATTCAAAATAGAATAAATACTTGAGGTGTTAATATTTTTTTCTGCTTTTTCAAAATAATTTTTCTCATTGGAAGGTATATTCCAAAACAGCTTTTTTTTCCCTCCACCGAATTAAACTGTCGAAAATATTTTTCCCAATTCTGATGAGAAAACACAAGTGTTGCAAGTCCTGGCTAAAAATGCTCATTGATGACACAGTGTGGAACAAGTGTACGTAGGGACACAGCATGTGTCCAATCAGGTTTTACAATGCAAACTGTGTGGAAAGCTTATGGCATCCATTTGCCCCAGACCATCGGCAGGTATTTAAGAGCTCAATACCTGACTCTTAGCTAGGTACTCACAGCTGCCTGTGCAATCAGCAGAGAGAAGCCAGCATCTCTAAAGTGTTGGCTCTGAAATGGGTGGCAATGGGTGAATCATCTTATGGAGAAGTCTGGTCAGAAAGTGGTGTGGCCAAATAACTTCAAAGCATCTCAGTTTCCCTGTTGGAATGTTCAAGGCATAGCAAGAGATGAGCGCAAGTAGGTGGAAAAAGCTGCTTTTCTACAGCAGGGCTTCATAATTCAATAAATGTGGCTGAGCACAGCTGCAAAATAAAACTTTGAACTTTGAAGGGTGGGGACAAGGGGGAAGCTTGGTGGGGAGGAATCTTGTGAAGGTGATGACAGGAGATCATATGTAGGTGATGACTGTTTAGTGTGAGTGTTGCTTGAAGGAAAAATATCCTAGTAAAACTCCCAGGTAAAAATGTATTTTTAACGTGGTTCAGTGCCCCAGAGAAGGAGGGTGGAAAGCAGTTGAGATTCCCTGCCATCTGTAATGTAATACCTTGATTTAAGGCCGAGTAGGTGTATTGCCTTCCGTGCATTCCACATCCTTTTAGCAAAAAGAAAATCACTTGAGGATAAACAACCAATTTGTTATCCTTTCTAATTAAATGAGTGGAAATAAGCAAAAGCACCGTTTAGGTACAGACTGGAAATAAGGCTTTATTTAGGAGCCGTTATCAGTTGTACTGATCAGAGGGGCTTAATCACAGTTATAATTTGATGTGTCAGATAGATTAGTCACTTATTAAGAACACCTGATGGTAGTGCTGAGATTGATGACCAGCTCAGGATAAGCAGGTAGATTTCCACTGATAAATAATAACTGCTGTCTTAACACCTTTTTGTCTTTGAACTCCCATCCCTTATAGTGGGTGTATATGCATGGGTGAAATCAATGCTTTCTTTTCAAATCACATCTCTGTGTTTTCAGTGCCGGTAGTAGGTACCAATTTCTGTTCCTGGTGTCAGCAGTCCTGGACCACAGGTAGCAGTAATTAGCAGGACGGGAGTATCTCTGTTCCAAGTGTGATTCAGTATCAGTGAAGTTATCCACGTTTGTGGAGACTTTGGCGAGGACACAGGAGAGACACAGGGGTCTGATGAGAAGCTTTTCAGCACAGGACGGGCTGCAGGAGATGCAGCTGGGGAGAAAACAGCAGGGAAGACCAGTTTAAGCTGGTGGTGTGTACACAGGAGAATAAAACGGCTGTAAGATCAAAGTCTGCACTTTAAAGGAAGTTTGTAATCATCAGAGGATTCTAAACAGCCTTTCTGGACGTCTGCAGGAAGGAGTGTTTTATTGACTACATGGCAGAGCCTGCCCAGTTTATGAAAGGGTGTGTAAGATGCAGCTGTGCATTGCCGCATGGGGTTGGATTTCATGAGCAGGACTGTCCTTGCAGTCCTCTGCCCTGTTCTCCTTTTACCTCCATGCTGAAATAACTAGTAAAGATGTAAAGTGATAATGGAGATTCAGTATAGAAATGGATATGTTACCATTAAAATCAAGACTAAGTAGACTGAGACCTGTTTGTTTCACAAGAGCAAATAGCCATTGCGTGGGAATGACTTTTGGGGAGGGATTTCTTTCACCTGATTTTAAGTAGATCTAGTGTATTCTGGCCAAGAGTAGGCATCTCTTTCAGTAAGTGAAGAGTATGTTCAGGTTGTCTTCTCTGTTGACAAGATCTTTGTTTACCATGAGGGGATTCTTAGTGAGCAGCTCAGCTGCATTGGAAATAACTGCACTTCGCAGATGATTCCTGTCCTGGCGTTCACTGGCTTGGAGGGGATTTGGCCAAACAAGGTGAACTCCCAGTTCCATCATTAGGAGTGATGAATCTGTTCGTTTGCATACAGATCTGAATTTTAGGAAGCTACAATTTCACTTGGGTAATTGTTAGATAATCTTTCCAGCCCTTTGGCCCCTGAAGAGTGCTCACAAAATAATTCAAGGCTTTATTAAACAAAATATTTTGAAAAATCTGGTACTGTGCACATGGTAGAATTCTTCCCCGCTCAATGTAGGAGACGATGTGCAAAATACCTCATCTGTATCTCAGTGCAGACTCTTCATAGAGGACCTAAAACTCAACTCCCTGAGATTGCCTGCATCATTTCTATGAAGTGACATGGAAGACTTTTTTTGCTGGATTTTGGCATGCTAGAAAAGGAGTTTTGGTCATCTCTGCCCTTATCATGCAGCTCATGAGAAAGTGCTGCTGGATTGCATCACACACAGACGTACTTGGGTATTAGACTAGTGAAATTCATAGTTTTGTTATGTGTGAAGTGTCTGGCTTTCCTTGCAGAAAATGGGCCGTTCCCACGGCAGGCATGGCTGGGCTGCACTAGGTAAAATACCATGAATGACACAGATCATGTCTGCTTGTAATGACGTTATGCAAATGTGAATCAATAGCTGTGGATGCCTTAATTTTGCACCCTAAGTATGTTTTAATCCCACTCCGTGCTAGTCTCACAGTTGGTGTCCCTGCAAACTTTGCCTTACTTGATATATATCCTTAGATTATTGTAACTACGGCAGAGCTATTGCTACACTTAAGGTGATTCCTGGGTCTCCTGGCCTTAGTTTCCCTCCTTTAAAATAGAAATATTAGTATTTTCCTATCTAGCAGGGGTAAGGTAAGGACAAACAAAATGAAAAGTGTCTACCTGTTTTATGATTAGGACTTATATTAACTGAGGAATAGGATATGTAGTATTTTGGCAGCACCCACAGTTTAAATTCACAGGAAGTTACTATGTATCTGGGGAGAAATAACTTGCCAAAAAAGAAAATTGCATGTCATCCAGGTTAGATTGCCTCTTCTCTTCCCCCACCTCTCTTCTCCCAAATAGATCTGTATACAGTATCCTACACCAATCTACAATGGCTGTGGTTGCAGGTTTTTGGGGATGGTGTTTTTTCCAGCAGCTGCTTAGGGAGTTCCTTGGGGATACTCAAATTATATCTGAAGTATACAAAGCCACGTTGCCCTGTCTGCCAGTGCCAAGCAGTGCAGTGCTGTAATGGACATGCAGAGGAAGGACCTAAAGTCCTGACAGTCCAGAACCATTAGGACATTTAGCTCAGC